GAGCAAATCCATCTGGCGGAGTCAGGTTAATAAGTAATATCCATTACTGTAAAAATGTCCATAGCGGAATATTTATTATCTATACTTCAGTACGGTATTTATATTGTAAAATGACAGTACAGTATTTTATTTGTTTATTTTTTAACTTAACTAAATATTCTATGATTTTTATACACTTTTAAGGTCCACACTTGTGTGATCACTTTTCCTGTAATGCTGCTGTAACACCCCTTTTTCCCTATCCCTATAAGGGATTTTCTATTCTATTCTATTCTAAAAACATAACCTGTGTGTGGTTTGAACCTACATAACCTATTTCTATACCAGCATCTAGTAAAAATCTTGTTTATTCACAATCTGTAGGAAAATCTGTCCAACTGTTTCATCTAGAGACGAGCCGACACAGCGGCCTCAGCTAATAGCTGCAGCTGTTCACTCCTTCATTACTGCATTTAGCTGCCCTGCTTTAACATTAGGTGAGGTCAGCTTTTTTTTTTTTATCCATGACCCTCATGTGCAGTAGAGGAAGCAGTGATGTCACAAGCAGCGACCGTGATCTTGCAATCTTTCATTTCCATCCTAACCTCAGCCAGTTCATTAACAACACAATCTTTTCTAGAGGGTTGAAAATAAAGACTACTCTCTGCATCATTGTCTGCCATGATTGTTAGGTTTTCTTCCCACTTCTGCGTAGAAAGACGCAGAATAGTGACCTTTGTCAATCGTTACTGATGTACAGGTCAGATGAATGCAGGTCGCACTTGAAAAGATCAGATTCATATCGGATTCAGGACAAAACAGCCAAGTGTTCTGGGTCACATTGGGAAAAAATCAGATCTCTGTTGTTTAGACTGTCATGAAAAGAGCAGATCCAGGTCGCATATGGGCAGAAAAAAGAAAAAGAAAATCAGATATGGGTCACTTTAGGCTGCTGTGTGAACGTAGCCTAAGATTATTATTTTTTTATCCTTAAAGAAAATTAAATGTATGAAAATGTCTCCATAAATCAGAGCTTTTAATAAACCAGGCTGTGGTGTTTGGCATTAAGCCATTTCAGCTGAATTCAGCTATAAGGTTTGTGAACAGTTGGAAAAATTGACCATTTAGTTTGATTTATAGATTATGAAAAAAAAAACTTTAGGATTTCAAAAATATTGCATCATTTCTTTAAAGAAAATCTGTGGGCATACTTAAAAAAAAAATTCCAGATATATGTGGGAATCCTTTCATACATTATTGGTTTGGAATAATTCAGACTAAAAGCATCTCCAGTGCTCCCTGCATCTGAAGGAGGAACCTCAAAGTTTCCAAACCTGAGTGAAGTTGGCCCCCCCACCTCCTTCAAATCAGACAAAATTAATGTCAAACGTTTGTGCTCGTTTGTGCAGCAAAAATTTTCATTTGTGCCGCTATTGTTTTAAAGATATAAAGAAATA